ATATATATATATAAGTTTAATAGATAATGAAATATATTTTTTTGAGAAAAAAAAAAAGTTGAGTGTAAAACAGTTTTATAGCTTATCCAATTACAAATTACCATATATAGTGATTACATATGATTTTGTTGACTTTTATAATTACTTGAAAGTTATATTAATAAGTTTTTATTAATTGATAATGTAAGTTTTTATACTGATGTTACACAATCATGAAATCTTTTAAATATTTAATTATAAAAATAAGAAATATTTTTATCTTACACTTATAAATTAAAAATATATAGAACACGCACCAATTAGAACTAAGAACTTGAAAAAATATAATATATGTTTGTTGTCGTAATTCAATGATCTAAATCAAACCAATTGATTAAGTTTTTTTTCAAAATCAAAACCAAATGAATTAAATGTGGTGGGTTCAGATTTGATGTTGTGATAAACTCAAATCAATTCATCCTGACTGCATCCTACCTTAACTTCAAAGAATAAGAATTAAAGGAGTCTCTATCTATGGACTTGGGTAGTTGATCTCGACAAGCTGGGCCTCTGGAGTGGGCTTGTTGCAATGAGTTGAGCACGTAGGACACCTACCAACCATACAGAGTCCGCGGATCATGGATCCAGGCTATGGTTCTTTTACAATCCATGGACCACCGGCAAGGTCCACTGTGCACATTATTAATTAAACCTGCATAATAAAGAAATAAGAATTTTGAGTAGTTCTTTTTTAACAAAAAGTAATATCCTCAATAGAAAATTAATATATTTATCTTACTTTGAAGAGTGATTAATTTAACTTATTGCATAATAAAGATATATTCACTCTATCTAGCGGATAAACGATGGATTTATCTGGAAAGAAAGTGAGGATAGAAAGGCACGTAATGTTTTTGTCATGGGCATTTACTATCCCTTAATCAATAGTGTGATGAATTTTGAGGAAAAGTATCGACTTGTTAATATCAAATTAATGAAGTGCCATAAATTTTCTGTTCTAGCTAGTCGATAGATCTGTCCTATATAACTTCATATCATTGTCACGCATTAAAGCTATACATACGCAGTGCTATTCATTTTCACTCGTTCCAACATAAATGCGGCGTAAGTTTTGTATACATAATACATTAATCAAGGATAAAAATAAATATATAGTTTATATTACAATTTGATTAAAATAGTTCTTTTTTTTAATAAATACCTTGCTTTACTAATTAAGATTCGCATAATTTATGTGAAATAAATTAGTAATAAAAAATTCATAGTAGTATTATATTATAAAATAAAAATAAGAACATCAGTTATTTTTATGGTCTATGTTGACCTTCGTGATTTTCATTACATTCCTATTTGTATCTTTTCTCATATTTTGAATAAATTGCAGTAAATTTGTTTATATATATATATAAGAATATTGATTATTTTAAATACTTATTTTCTCTATTTTTAGACTAATTAGAACTCGTATACAAATCCAAATCGAACGTGTTTAGTAAGTTTAGTTACAAGTTCAACATGTGGTTGATAGATACGACAACCAAATTCATATTTAGTGGGTGTAGAATAATAGATGAACTCAAGGTTTAGAATCAATCGGATGTAGAAAATAAAGTTATATATACGCATTAAAGCTATACATGTATCTAAAAACATGAATTTATTAGGACAATTTTTTTAAGAAAATAAAGAAATTAAAAATATATGTAAAAAATAACACTAAATGATATATTTTGATGAACATTGTCATGCAAATTAGTTCATTTTCTTTATTATTTAAATTCTTTCAATTACAACTGTAGGTAGATTCTATCAAGTCATCTTATGTCAATATTTTGTGGTAAATATTAATAACTGAATGAACCTCTCTTCGTAATCAAGTGAATTAAGGTTTCATTAATCATTAAAAGATATATATATCTTTATGTTAAACTTATCTTGATTAATATTGTCTTTAGATATACTTATGGCAAGATAGTCGTTGTATATTATATTTAACTTTTTTTACAAGATCAAATTTAACTTTTATGATTTAAAATTAATTATTAATTTTTTTAATATATAGTGTAACTAAAAAAAACATTACTTTTAGGTACCCTAATTTTTATTTTCTGAAAAATATAGTGAGTTTAACTTTAATATTTTGTCAACGTAATTTCTTTTACATTATCAACTAAATAAACAATATACTAAATATTATTTTATAAATAGTTATAATCAAGATCAATGATTTTTGATACTACAATAATTTAAAATTAGGTGATAGTATAACATATCTTTAAATTTTTAATATATTTTAATTAAATTTATATATATTCTTAATAGCATTTGTTCTAGTAAGGAATAGTATCTTTAGAGGACCCTAGTGACTGTTTAAGTCTATGACATTGAATAGTGTAACTTATGTTTAATTTTGTGTGTGTATATATTGGATTTTCTAGCACCAATCTTTCATATTACATGGCCATTATTACTACTAGAAATAATCCCACAAATCATGGCATCGTGGCTCTATTAGTGCCTTGTCATCATAACCTAAAGTGATCACCTGGCAACCAACTCGGCCGAGTGAACAAGAGAGTTGATCGATCAGCTACCAACTAATGCGATACAAAACCGCTAACATTAAACACTAAGGCATGAGAGTGGAAGTTGGATCAATCAGCTACCATTGATGTACTACATAATTCCTCAGCCTCGAGTGCTTAGACATAAAGAGGCCTTAGTAAAAATTAATTTAAATTGCACCACTAAAAATTCACTTATTCTGCCTTCTCCAACTAACAAGTTATTTTGTCCACAAGGCAATAAAATGAATATAATATTGTTTTTTTTCTTATTTATTGAATAATAATATTTTAAGAATATCTTGAGAATGTATTTGAAATGAAATTTACCGAAAATTCATGTATAAAATTGTTCCGGCCAAAGGGTGGACTAGGGTTTTTTCCTAGATCGTGCCTTAGAGCCAGAGCATTCAAAAGTGTAATCTGCCTTATCAACTCTAGGGTTTTTTCTTTTATAATTTCTTGTTTACGGGCTTTATGGGCCCCGAGAATGTAGGGATTTCCTTAACCGTTTTGATCTGGCTAATATTTGGTGAGGGATAGTGGGACCTTGCCCTTGCTATCGGGTTGTCCCTGTATGCGAGAGTTGTGTCGGCCCCCGACCGACCATACCCGTACTGAGGGTACAGTCGGGTATTGGGCGAGTTGGTTCTTGTAAGCGGAAGGAATCGGAAATATACCGACCAGGTTAAGTAGAGAAACCAAGTCGAATAATAACCGAACCACTCTTAGAGGGGTGATCGGCGAGAGCTACAGTCGGCCTGGCATATCGGCGAGAGCTACAGTCGGCCTGACATACGTAGTAGGCAGGTCGGAATCCGACCTGGACCGTACACTAGCCCTCCAGCGCTGAGCCTATAAGGCGGAAGGGCTTTGCTAGACAGGGGGTCGGCTTAGCCATGGCCGACATGTCCCTCGTGGAGGCCCCTAGTCGGATTTCGTCCTGGACCGTACATTAGCCCTCCAGCCTTGAGCGTGCAAGGCGAGAAGGCTTATCCTCAGCCGATACATACAGTCAGATTCTTGTTGAGCACACTTTTATGGCTAAGGCAAGGGACAGACCAAGAAGATTCACTGACTCGTTATCTCAATTCGTGGCTCCTCGGGCTCTGGTAGGGGATGTGAGAAAATTCACCCAGTTAAAAAGCTTCAAATGGAATAGTCGGTTAACTATCCGACTCAGTCACCTTGGGTCACCGAAATACCGAGTTGAAATTCACCAAAATCAAGTCGCCTAATTTCTGACTATAAATGATGAGAAATTTTTTTTGTTACAATGAAATTTGACAATCCGATCGGTGATATACCAACTCACAAAATGAGTGGAAAATTTTCCGAGTTAAAATGAATCCAACTAATAGCCCCCATGCCCACCATTCCGAGAGTGAAATAAAAAGATGTTCTTCTAGCTAAGATGTGGCGTTTTTGGCCGAGGTGTGGGACATGATAAGCCTACGGGTCAGACAAATGCCGATCTCCTTAGAATGATTTAGTATTTTGGGTGTTCTTTGATGAGTTTTGCTTCCCCCTAGTTCGGATTTTTACCGAGCGATCATGAATTTGTGTCTTCGAGTTATTTTATACTCGCCCAATCGGAATTTAACCGATCGATCATGAGTTTGGTTCCTACAACACACAAATTTTTATTAAATAAGAGTGACAATGAGTATTATCTTGAACAAATGATCATTCAAACACTATTATTATTATTATTATTGTTGTTGTTGTTGTTGTTGTTTTTGTTGTTGTTGTTATAATATATTTTTTTTTTTTTTGTATTAATTAATGTTGATTTTTTAGCTGATAATAATGTAATAAATTAATAAATTTATTTTAGAATTTAATTTGTGTCATTGTTTACTTTATAGGTTGATAACATTGAATTTGCAATAATGTACCAAATAATTTACATTTATTTTAAAATATTTAATTTTTTACAATAAATAAATAAATATAATTATGTTGACTTCATTAACCCAACCCAATCCAATCCGTTTGTGATTGGATTGGGTTAAATTAGATTTTTTTTAAAAATTACACAAATCCGATCTAATCCCACCTAGTAAATTTTGATTGGATCGGGTAACGGGCTTATCCAAACCCGACGCAACCCAACTTGCAATTATGTTTTTAGTCTTTCAAATGTAATAATTATTTTTTTTCTCAAATTTAAGATTTATGTTTTTAGTTGTTGTAATTTCAAAAAAAATATTTAAAATATGTGTTTTTAGTTTTCAAAATATAAAATTATTATTAGTCCTTCAAATTTAAAATTTGTCATTTTAATTCTTATAGTCCTAAAAATATTACTATAGTCTCTCACCGTTATTAATAGCATAATTAACAGTGATAGATTCAATTTTATAATTAAGAGACCAAAATAATAATAATAATAAATTATATTTTAAGTACTAAAAATACGCTTTTTAAATTTTAGGAAAAAAATACATACCTCAAATTTAAAAGATAAAAAATATAATTAAGTCTTATTTATTTTATCAACTTCATCAAAATATTTTTTGAAAAAAAAAAATTTAACGTGTTTTTTTTAGCTTATGATTTTTTTTTGGTAACTATATTATTAGTAACCAAGTATATGAATTATTATGCATGTGTGTAATTTTTTTTTTTTTGTTTAGAGTATTATTTACAACAAAAATATTATTTGTGTTGGGAAGTTTTTACATAGGGAAGTACTCTGCATAATGGGTAGTGAATAAATCATAATTGAGTAAGTGGATTTTTCTCACTTATATTATATCCAAATTAACATTATTCACAATTGGATAGTTGGGTTCTTCTCACTTATATTTTATTCAAGACACATAAACATTAACGACACATAAGGGCGTAAGCAAGTTGGGTTGCGTCGGGTTTGGATAAGCCCGTTACCCGATCCAATCAAAATTTACTAGGTGGGATTAGATCGGATTTGTGTAATTTTTAAAAAAAATCTAATTTAACCCAATCCAATCACAAACGGATTGGATTGGGTTGGGTTAATGAAGTCAACATAATTATATTTATTTATTTATTGTAAAAAATTAAATATTTTAAAATAAATGTAAATTATTTGGTACATTATTGCAAATTCAATGTTATCAACCTATAAAGTAAACAATGACACAAATTAAATTCTAAAATAAATTTATTAATTTATTACATTATTATCAGCTAAAAAATCAACATTAATTAATACAAAAAAAAAAAAAATATATTATATTGTTACAATGTTATCAACCTACAACACACAAATTTTTATTAAATAAGAGTGACAATGAGTATTATCTTGAACAAATGATCATTCAAACACTATTATTATTATTATTATTGTTGTTGTTGTTGTTGTTGTTTTTGTTGTTGTTGTTGTTATTATTATATATGACCGAATTGAATCGGGTTGGTAACGAGTTTTATACCTGCCTTCTCAACTCTAGGGTTTTTTCTTTTATAGTTTCTTATTTACGGACTTTATGGGCCCCGAGAATGTAGGGATTTCCTTAACCGTTTTGATCTGGCTAATATTTGGTGAGGGACAGTGGGACCTTGCCCTTGCTATCGGGTAGTCCCTGTATGCGAGAGTTGTGTCGGCCCCCGACCGACCATACCCGTACTGAGGGTACAGTCGGGTATTGGCCGAGTTGGTTCTTGTAAGCGGAAGGAATCGGAAATATACCGACCAGGTTAAGTAGAGAAACCAAGTCGAATAATAACCGAACCACTCTTAGAGGGGTGATCGGCGAGAGCTACAGTCGGCCTGACATATCGGCGAGAGCTACAGTCGGCCTGGCATATCGGCGAGAGCTACAGTCGGCCTGACATATGTAGTAGGCAGGTCGGAATCCGACCTGGACTGTACACTAGCCCTCCAGCGCTGAGCCTATAAGGCGGAAGGGCTTTGCTAGACAGGGGGTCGGCTTAGCCATGGCCGACATGTCCCTCGTGGAGGCCCCTAGTCGGATTTCGTCCTGGACCGTACAAGAATCTATACATTTAATTAAAATAAAATAAAATTGTTTATTGCTCTGTGAAAATTATTATTTGAATGTTTTTCATATGCATGTTTGCACCGATTTAGTTTCTCACAAACCCTATGATGTTGCATTTTATCGTTATCCAGATTAACTAAGAACTATAAATATTATTTAGTACATATTTAATTTTCCACTTAAAAAATTCAATCACAATTTTTAGTGAGATTTTTTTTATATAGATTTTCTTAGGGTTTATCAACGGTCAGGTTTAGGTGGGTTTGGATTCAAAATATCCAAACCATTGCTAACCGAGGACTGCATACATTGAACTCGTTTCTGAACAAATTATATTGGAGTTTAACTTCTTTTGAGTTGTAACAATTTTAAGTTAAGTCAGAAGGGTTCAAACGAGAATGAGTTTGATTGGGTTACCATATGATTTTATTTAAAGAAATTAAATTTTCCTCCTACACCATCGTTACTGGCCTTGACTTCAATTAGGCATGGTAACGGAGCGGGGTGCAAATTTAAACCGTCTCTACTCTCGCCCTCAATACTAGCTAGGGTAAAATCTGGATACTCATTTTCGTTCCTGGTGGGGTTTGGGTTTCTCTACCCTGCCCCTAGCTAGCCCCGCTCTTGAACCTTTTTTTTTTCTTTCTATTTCTAATAAATATGAATAAATTTTAAAAAATAAATAAAAGAAAAGTAAGATAAATTAAATTTTTACATATAAATATTTCTAATTTTAATTTATATATATATATATAATTATATTTTTAAGTGGGGCAAGAGTAGGGCGGGTATTAACATCCCTGTCTATGTCCTTGCCCCCAATTTTATCAATAGGAAAAACTTGAATCCGAACCCGCTAAACACGAGTTTTCCCTGTCTAAATCGAGGCGAGTTTGAACGGGTACTCACAGAGACGAGTTATATTGTCATGCCTAGCTTCAATGCCTTTGTCCCACTTAGAAACGATGTCATTAAATCAAGTGCACGATAACTAAGGTGTGACAAGTTCACCATGTAGGTGAACACCTAAGCTTCTCTACAAATCACACCTTCAAAGACGAAGTGCAAAATGTTTTGTCGGAGTCCAACTTGCACTAGTGGAAGGAGAAGGGCTAGTTGAGGGAGACAACGAAGGTGGTCAAGCGACGCCTGAACTCTTGTAGGATGGTGATGGACCTCGACAAGAGAGACAGGTGAGAACGGTGCAAACATTGTTAGGATTTCAAGAACAATCAATCAATAGTTTTAGGATTAAATTTTTTTAACTAAATTATTCACATTAACATTGGACTTGGACCTCACAATATGAACTATTGGGTTTATCTAAGTATTAAATTTTTTTTGTCGGTCAAGTATGATTTCCTATAGATGTAAAGGCCTAAAATTGAGCCTGTGAAATAAAACTCATTTAAACTTGTTTTTTCTACCTGCATGACCCATTTATTCATGTGAACCCACCTAAAAATCATTTTTTTTAATTGGATTCTTCGGTTAGGACAGGATCGAGTTTTCCTGCTCACCCCTATTTAATTTCCTCATATTTAATATATAATTTGGAGGTTTCACACACGAAACCAAACAAGTACTCAGTCACAGCAAAACAATGCTTTGTAATCGACTATTTGTTAGTTTGTTTTACCTGCAAAGACTTTTCCAATCAAGGATTATTTTATTTGTTGATAAATTTTGCCACTGCCTCTCGCCCAGTTTTTCTTAGAGTTTGCGCCAAATAAACTCATAACCAAACACGCTTATATAGAATCCAAAATTCCCAAAACAATTCCATCCTATTTCTTTTTGTCTTTTTTGGCCATTCATTCCCATTTCCACTACATATTTTCAATTGGCTATTCACACACTACTAGTTTCTCGGATCACAAGCCTTTTCATCTTATTCAAACACTACTCCTGTACAAAGCAAAAGTGAACTTCACTCAAAAAGGAACTTCCAGCTGAAAACTCAAGACTAACAAAAACCTAAAATCTAAAAGAAGATTATATAACCAATGATATAATACGCTATATAATAATTGTCTGAATGGCAGGAAAAGATTGTGTTGTTAGGCGAAAATGATGGTCATGTGGCGTATTTTGTGGTAGACACTAATGCCACTGCTTGCGCCCACACTTTGAGCCGAGCCTTGACGTCTCTGGGATCATCACCTAAATCACAAAATTTGGAAACAAACAAACTCATTAGAAACATATCCATTCCTAACAAAGATAAATCACTACCCATGCCACTAAAAAGTTAATCATGAAAATAGGTGTGCAAGACAAAATTACAATTTCATTATTTTACATTAATGTATAATGAGAAGAGAAATACGCACCAGGAGAAGAGATACGCCAATTAGCGATGGGAGAATTGCCGCCGCTGCTAGTGTCAAGTAAACGCTCATGTTCCAACTCAAACCCAAGATCTCTGCAGGCCTTAACTTCGTCCAAGTCCATACAGAGGGCCCGCTTCCCACCTTTGGGCCTCGTTATCAGCATCACCCCACTGTGATCACTCTCCCCGCTGAGCCCAAGCCCAAGCCCAAGCCCAAGCCCAAGCCCATGCTCCTTCTCCGCCCGCTCCAACTCCAACCTCCACCGATCGCTCCTCAACGACCTCCTCCTCCTCCGCGGCGCCGGACCACCCTTCTTCTTCCCGCCCTCTCCGCCATTGTCGCTGGCGTACTCCTTCACCTGGCTCCTCCTCCGCGGCGGCGTGCAGGGCAACGAGTAGCAGCTTCCCAACTCATTCTCGGAGTCCGACGACAGCCTGGGCGCCAACTCCTTGCCGTCGGACTGCTCCCCGTCGGCGTCGAAGCTTTCGATGGACAGTCGCGAGACGAGGTTGTCGTCGTCGTCGTCGTCGTCGTCGAGGCCGAAGGTGCTGGTGGTGCAGACGGAGAGCCTTGAGACGTTGTGGGGATGCGGGTGGAGGTGATTCTGAATATCGAAGGCATCGTCCAAGTCTTCTTCGTCTTGTAGTGAAGAAGAGTGAAAAGTGAAGAGGGTGTCATCTGAAGCCATAGTGAGAGAATCCTTCGTTTCTCCTTTTGTGATAAGGTAGTAGAACCGCACTTTCAAGTTTCAACCAACCACTCTATTTATGCATTCCACTCCTTCCTTCTTTTTTTTTTATTTTATTATTTTGGTCATTGTGGCAGTCAAAGAATGGATGAATAGTGAAGATGGATTGGGGTTAGTTAAAGGAATGACTAGTGTGAGAATGGGGTACCAAGTTTCGGGGATCAACTTTTAAGTGATTCCATTTCCTTGGTGGTTGGTTAATACATATTCTACTGTATTCTTATCTACACTACATATGTTCATGCCACTGCTACATCAAGAAACGCGCAATTTACGCGGGGTTTGTTTCAGGTACCACCTGACAGTTACTGAGGATTACTTAATTCATTTTGGATTGTGTTATACCATAACCCACGCCCCATTGCGTTATTTAATACCAAAAGTTTTTCACAAATCTTATCAACATTTCTAGATGAGAGCCCAGGGAGGGGATTAGTCAAAAACATATTTCTCATCCTCACACCATATATATAAATAACATTCTCATTTTCTTATGCGATTAAGACTTCAAATAAATGAATATTAAATTCTTCATAAATTTATGCGAAACGTATGACCATATAAAGGTTTCTCTAAGGTAAATTTTAATTGGTTCACAAATATTTTTTTTTTGACGATAGTATATTAAAATTAAGCTCTTACAAATATTTTTAATAATATAGTATAACTCTAATTTATATCTATTATATAAAAGATATAGTTTAGTAATTACCCTTTTAGTTTCTATTTTTTAATTAAACTTTTTTTAAAAAATTTGTTATTCACTTTCTTAAAAAAAAAAAAAAAAACACTAATACAGTTATCTATTTCAAAATTTTAATATTTTTTAATAGACCACAAAAAAACTTGATTGATGCAACGTGTGAGAGGAAAGAGAGGATATATGTATAGCAAATACTTTTAATACGAAAATCATGGTAAAATGAAAAGGTGTAAGGCTTAAAAGGGTTTAGATTAATTATTTTTTATAAACCTTGTTTATCCATGTCTTTGTTTTTAATATTAACCCGGGTAGGATAGAAAAGGGATACGAAGTATGAAATGATGAATGTTTGGTTTTTTTTAATTTATTTATTTAATATTTTGAATGGATGAATGAATGTTTGGTTTGGGGCCACAATCATTCACCAAACAGAAAAAGAATAGCCTGGAAATGTTGTGGTGGGCGTTGGGATTGGGCAGTGCATTACCTTTGGCGAGGGGTTTTATACTTTTATTTAAATCTAATAATTTTTTTTTAATAACAGAAGATAAAGAAAGCTAGCTTTTCTCCACGTGCATCTCTGCTGATGTAACTTTGACCTTTCTCCGTTTTTTCCCAGGGGATTCAAGACACCTGTCCACGTTTTATTACGCTTTTCGTTTTCACTATTCGTATCAAAAGATTAATTTATATTTTAAAATAGGATGAATATGACTTTGGGGCCTCTTCCTATATTTGAACAGAAAAAATTAAAGGAAAGGAGATATATACTCATTCACCGTGGTTAACGAAGCTATGTTAACATAACATTGTCACAGACCAACCATATATACCTGTCTCCTTCTTTCAGAGTCCGCACCACGTGCCCTTTCATCGCTGCATCCAACGCTTCATCATTTTCAACTCAAGGAATAGATCAATCAATATTCATTATTGCATACTATATACAGTAACTTCTTTTTAACTATATATACTTTGTTCATTCATTTTATTCAATTTTTCATTTATAATGAACAGAAAATCTTACAAAAGAAAGTCGAGTTTAGCTATATTACATGTAATAATTTTTTATATAAAATTTAGAGTCTTTAAGAAATTATAAAATTGAATGGGAGTAGGACTCTAGGAGACTAGGAGTGATGGAGAAAGTGGGTCCCTCACACATTCACTCTTGTTGGAGTACAGTTGCACAAGGCAAAACCTGCAGGCCATAAGGCTTAGGCCACGGATATTCATTTTTTAACGTTTTCTTCGGCCACCCATTTTATTCTCTCTATAAATTTAAATAGAATTTGTCATTGTCTATTGTGGGTTGAGTCCCTCATTCTAACTTCCAACTTCAAACTCCAAACTCCACCTTACAAGAATACAAAAGGACCTTCAAAATTAAATTTCTGACTAATTAATGAAATGAATTGTTAAATGGATTTTGGTGAGATGAAGTTGATCAACGCAGGGACGCTCACCGACCGTTGATAAAGCATGTTTAATTTTGGATAGCGGGTTTGGACGGTTGAAGCGCATTAAATCTACCATTAGATTGTTTACACCTCATAATTTAGCTATGTTTTCAGCTCTAATTCATCAGTTATAAAACTATATATATTCAAATTTGTTATCATATCAAAAGTCTCGCCTAACCTTTTTTTTTTTTCCAACAAAAACTAATCTTTCAATGTATTATATTTGTCTAAGAAATTAACGTTTTTTAATTTCTTGGGGTTCGAATCATGCCTTGTGCATGCAGCCGCGTTAAATCTTGGGGTCAGCTATTCCACCCTTTGAGATGCCTCCAACGTAGCGAGGAGATTAGTCACTGCTGTCAGCGGTGGATACTCCAGGAACGAATCTAAAAATTATAATTAATTTGATTATATTAATTGTTTATATTAGAATTTGTTAAATTTAAATAATTATAAAATATAATTAATTGATTTTCATTTCAATGTATTTTAATAAATGCATGCAACGTATTATTATATTTGATTCTATATGTATAGAAATTTGTAGAACAGCGGGTGTGGTAGAATTGATCTAAAATGACGATTATTTATTTAATCTGGCTCAATATTTGAGTAAATATATACTATTATTGTCTTCTCCAATTCATCATGATAAAATGTGTAAAAGAAATTATATATTAATATACATATTGTGTTCTACCACTGAATCTTAATCATGTTACTTTACTACTATGATGAGTAACTATATTTTTCGATATTTCCTAACTATAAATTAACTATGTTTACGATCACAGTACCACTTCATACTTTTTCTCTTGTTTTAGTTAGATCAACATTACATATAAAAAAATTGTATCATAAAAATAATTACAAATTCATATAAAATAATAACAAGAATATATCATAATTAAAAAAAAAAAGAAAAAAGCAAACATAATGATAAAAAAGGATACGTATTCACTATCTATTAAAAAAAATACACTTATATTATCTAATTAAAACTATTATGTGTGACAAGTTTGTTAACTTTGTTTATAATAAATTATACTAAAATTGATTATCAGTTTTTTTTTTTTTAACATTGACAATGTATATTATAAAATTCATAAATTATTCACTTAATTTTTGTATGCATAACCTAATATATTCCTACAAAATAGGAACTATAACTTTTACACTTTCTCGTTGAAACAGTTAAAAATTGAACAATTAACAAATTGTATTAATTATAAGCTTTTGAATATATTTCATTTTGAATTTAATTGGATGTACTTTAATTAGAATTACTAGTGATATTATTTAAAGTTGTTTTTATAAAAGATTGTTCTAACAATAATTATTTAAAAATGTCAACCTTTAAATTGTGTGTTATCATCACGTTATTTAGTGAATAAGTGATGGCATAAAATATTTAAAAAAAATAGAAAAGAAAATAAAGTAATGAATAATGTAGGAAGAAGTTGAATTTCGCGTTATAATCACATAGAAAATGTGCGGTGATTAAAAAGAAAAGAAAGTAATCAATAACGTAGGAAGTTGAAATATGAGTGACAATCACATAAGAAATGTGTGGTTGAAATTGGAAGGCATTATAGCATGCATATGGACATGACATGAGAGACATGTTGGGTCCCTAACCGTTTGATGAGTCGAAGTCCTTGTCTGTCAAACAAGACATGATAGACTCTAACACCAAATCAATTCACGCCATGCCTATTATTACTATTACCAAGTGGATCCTCTCTATTTCTTCTTCTATTCAAATGCCTCTTCATTTTTCTTTACTCTTACCTATTCTTTCTTTTTTCTATTCCTCTAGCAACGTTCTTCATTTCTTTAACTTTCTTCCTCTGATCAATTACCAAATATAAATTACAATTTAAGTGAATATAGATAACATTTGTCTTTGGATTAATTATTAGTAATTATTTAAATAAAAAATTAAATTATTATTATTTTTAAATAAACTACACCAATCATATACTATATTAATTTTAACACCAGAATCGATTGTCCTAATGATGACAACTAAGATAATATACATAAAATTTTAGTATTTACGGCTAAAATGAAGATAATATCAACTGGGAAATAACGATGCTATATTCAGTATTTACGGTCACGAATCAAAATCTGAATCGCATTGACATTTTAACGTGCTAGGAGGAAACATAGGCATTGTCATCACGAAACATAGTTATGTGTTTAGGTCATAGGCTTTTCTTTGGGCTTTGACTTGGTGTCACTTGTTTTTGGCATGATTAATTCTCTTGTTGTTACTGTTAGCTAAAAATTATAAATTTTTAAAACATTATTAGCAGGAATTCATTAAATGAGATTCGAAATTTATAAAATTTATAATTTTTAATTATTTATTCATTTTTTTATAATAATTTTATCTTGTTTGATAAGAGATCTATAAAATTTATGATTTTCAATAATTCATTAAAAGAGTTTTTTTATAGTAATTTTGTGACACCGTGTATTTTTTTAATTAATTTTTTATTTTATTAATTAAATTGATATTGTGACTAATTTTTTAATTGTTGTGAAATTCTATAGATTTAGAAAATTTAATGAATTTTTGTTGTTTAAGAATTATTTTGAGTTAAGGTTAAATTGATCAATTAAGAGAGAGTATATATAAAGATTTTTTTATATATAAAATAGATATTTCATAAATTTATTACTTAATAATTTAAAAAGAAAGAGTTTAGATAGAAGAACTCTAAAGTCTCTGAGATTCTTTTTCTCTATACTGAATTCCTTAAGCATTTAGATATTTTCCTTAAGTATAGTTAAGTAGTTGAGTTGAGATTTAAAGTCTCTAAAGCAAAGAATTAAAAAGTGTAGAGTGGTTAATGTGTGAAGTTGTCAAAAGACTTCGTTCTTCCTTCTTTCTCTTTTCTGGTTGATTCAAAGGTAAGGGAAGTTATAGATGGATTGTTATATTGTGTTTTAATTGCTAAATTGAAATTGAAATC